CCCCTCCTGTTTGTAGGCTCCCTTTAGGTACTGAAGGCTGCAATAAGGTCACTCCACAGCCTCCTCTTCTCCAGGCTGAACAAGCCCAGCTCCCTCACCCTGTCTTTGTAGGGAAGGTGCTGCAGCCTCTGATCATCTTCATGGCCCCCCTCTGGACCCTCTCCAACAGCTCCCTGTCTTTCTTGCACTGGGGGTCCCACACCTGGACGCAGTGCTGCAGATGGGGCCTCACGAGGGCAGAGCAGAGAGGGACAGTCCCTTCCCTGTCCCTGCTGCCCACCCCTCTGCTGATGGAAAAGTTAACCTCATGCACTGCGTTTTGCATCCCTGTGCATCCTCAAGGTCACCCCTGGGGGTTTCTGTTGGGTCTTTTGGTTCTGCACAGTGCCCCATTTGCTCCCCACAGTCAGCACAGCCTCTCCCTGCGTCTGGAACGTCTGCGTCACGCGGAAGGCACCGCTGGTGGCTTCAGACAGCAGCTCCTCAGGCGGCTCAGACAGCGAGGATGAGGATGAGAAAGGAGATGCCATCACAGAGACCATCAGCATGGGTGCAGGCCAGGAAACAGTCAAGCTGACGATGGATGCGAAGAACGAGAAGGCCGTTTTCACCAGGTGGGAATGGAGTCACTCAGGGGGAGCTCAGAGCAGTCTTAACCCATTGTGTTGGTGGGGATTGGTGTCATCTTCCTCATAGATCCCAAGTGTCTTGAGTGAGGATGTCTCACAGCTTCCTTGTCGAAGGGGTTCTGCTTTAATAAAATGTTTATTGCAGGTTTGTTGTAAGAAATGTGCGTGGCTCATCGTAGCTCATGTCACCCATCTGTCCTCCTTGCTGTGCAGGAGGTTCAGGACTGTGCTGGTGGTGAGGATCATAGAATCCCAGAATAGTGGGGTTGGAAGGGATTTGTACATCATAGAGCCATAGAATGCTTGAGTTGGATGGAACCTTATAGACCATGGAGTCACAGAATGATTGGGTTGGACCTTATAGGCCAGAAAGTGGTTGGGCTGGAAGGGACCTTATGGACCATAGGTTGTTTGGGTTGGAAGAGATCTTATGGACCACAGAGCCATAGAATGGTTGGGTTGAAAGGGTTCTTAAAGTAATAGAGCCAGAGGATGGCTTGGGTTGGGTCTGAAGGGTCCTTAAAGATCATAGAGCCATAGAGTGGTTGGGTTGGAAAGGACCTTTTAGACCATAGGATGATTGGATTGGAAGGGATCTTATGGACCATAGAGCCATAGAATGGTTGGGTTGAAAGGGTTCTTAAAGTAATAGAGCCAGAGGATGGCTTGGGTTGGGTCTGAGGAGTCCTAAAAGATCCTAGATCCAGAGGATGACTTGGGTTGGTTCTGAAGGGTCCTTAAAGATCATAGAGCCATAGAGTGGTTGGGTTGGAAAGGACCTTATAGACCATAGGATGATTGGGTTGGAGGAGATTTTATGGACCTAGAGCCATAGAATGGTTGGGTTGAAAGAGTTCTTAAAGTAATATAACCAGAAGATGGCTTGGGTTGGGTCTGAGAGGTCCTTAAAGATCCTAGATCCAGAGGATGACTTGGGTTGGTTCTGAAGGGTCCTTAAAGATCATAGAGCCATAGAGTGGTTGGGTTGGAAAGGACCTTATAGACCACAGAATCAGAGTATGGTTGGGTCTGAAGGGACCATATAGATCATAGAGCCATGGAATGGTTGGATTGGAAGGAACTTTATTGATCATACAGTCACGGAATGGTCGGGTTGGAAGGGTCTTTATAGATCATAGAGCCACAGAATGGTCGGGTTGGAAGGGACCTTATAGGCCATGGAATGGTTGGGCCATGGAATGGTTGGGCTGGATGGGTCTTCATAGACCACAGAGCTACAGAATGGTTGGGTTGGAAGGGAACTTACAGACCATAGAGATAAGGAATGGCTGGGTTGGTGCAGGGTCTGGCATAGAATGTGTGCTGCTGTGCAGGAGAGCACTGACATGCCTCCAGCTGTCATTGTTCCCTCATTCTCAAGGTGATATATTGTAAGCAATAAAAGATGAATGGTGCACAGTGCCCCCAAAAGATGTCAGTTCCTGCTTGGCTGGGGGCTGCAGAGCAGTGTCATGGGGAAGAAGTGAGATTGCAGAACTAGGTAACATTCTGGGAGAAGGAAGTAAACCAAAGGTTTAAGCAACTCTGAATTTATTTCTTAATAAGGACACCAGTTTTAATTTTTGCTGTCTGTTTCAAGTAGCCTTTACTCTTTTGTACTTGCAATGAGTGAGATTCTGGAGCTGTGCTCACTGTAACTGCAGCTGTTATGGTAAATGGAGTTGGATTGTTGAGGGATGGCACCTCCAAGCAGACTGGCTCCATGAAGAATGGAAGATGAAGGAGAAGCAGAATGCTGCCTGCTCTGCTAAAAGCAGCCTCTGCTATTCCAGTGTTCAGTTTGCATTGCTTCTAATTAAATCCATTGGCTCTGGTATCTGAAACAAACTGCTCCAGATGTTGCTCCTCTCACCACACGGTGGTTTGGACTTGTGTTACACGTGGAGCTCCCTGTCTTGACTCACAGCAGCAGTGTAAATTTTACTTGGCATGTTCTGAGGTTCTCTCATTTATTTCCTAGCAGGAGCAGGGATGGTGGTTTCTGATTTGGCTGATTGGCTGCTGCAGGCTGCACCTGCTGCTTCACGCAGCACTACTTGGAATGGTTTTCTCTCTAAAGAAGTGCATATATCAGTAAGCACGAGGCGTCCAGAACCTGCCTGGTTTTTCATGATTGCAGTTCTGCAAAAATGAATTCCATTTTGGCAAAGAAATGACATACTGGAGTAACCACGGTCTCCACTTGAAAGGTGTCTGCAGCCTTTCCCCGCTGTAACCGCAGCCAAAAACAGAAATAGAAGCTGTGGGAGGACAGGACCTGTTGCACAGATTGTGATTTCAGCTGCTCCAGCTCTGCTGAGTTTCTCATAGTGTCTGAGCTACTGACCAGTGGTGACAGTGGAAGCTTCCCATGGCCTCTGCTCTCCCAGACCAGTCCATCTTTCCATGCAGCAGATGTGGTGGTGCACCCTAATGGCCAGTGGAGGATATGCTTGTTTCTCACCACGTTCCTGACTGATTCCAAGTAACTGAGCTGTACTAAAAGCTGAATATGTAGTTCTTGAAGGCTTTCCAGTGGCAAAACTCCAACTCTGGCTCTGAGTCTTAGTAGCCTTGTGCTGTCACAGCTCCACAACTGGATGCAGCAGTTCTCAGGCCCAATTTCTGCCTTGACTTTGGTGTCAACTTTTCGGTGTCAAGTTTCAAGTTTGGATGCCTAAATCTGCTTTTAAGAACGCAGTTAAAACAAAGTTGACTTCTTTCTCTCTCTCCCAAAAGCACTCAGCTTCCAATAAACTCTCTCCTTCTGTACAAACAGGTCTTCCTCCTCTATTTTTCCACCATCCCCAGGGCCACCAAGCTGCAGTGCTGCAGCAGACACCTCTGAGAGCACTCCATGACCACGATGCTGTCTGCTGGTGCTCTCTTCCTGCCCAAACCTTACACCCTGAGCACTCCATTACATCTCCCTGCACAGCTCAGTGGCACTTCTGCTTAAGGCAGCCGACGTGGCAGTAGCTTAAAAATCACATGCAAAGAAAGCATTTCAAACATAGTTAGCTTGCTTCCCATCCCTAATTGTGGAAACTCATAGAGTGGCTTAGGTTGGGAGGGTCCTTTCAGCTGTTTCTTGTGAAGAAATCATTTTGCAGAAGTTCTCTGACCAGAGAGCTTCCAGATCTGTGATAACTGAGCAGTTTGTGTGCCAGGCATGAGAAGGATGCTCGTGATGGGGTATTGAATCTTCTGCTTTTTTGGATACGGGTCTGAGTATTGCATGGGAAGTGCAGTCTTCAGTGGCTGCACGCTCTGAAACCCTTTGGAACATTCCTGCTTATTCTCCTGGAAGGAACCACCTGGGGATAAGGTTGCAAAGTGAACTCTTCTGTCTGTTTTTTCAGCCATCTTTACTGTTCTCTTTCTCTCCCTTCCTTCACTCTCTCCCTGTCCTGCCTCTCGCTGCCTCTCTCTCGTGGTGGGCATTGCTCAGAGTCTTTAGACCTGCAGGCAGAGGGTACGTATGGCTCAGGGTTCCAAACATCCACCGTACACATAGCTGCTCTCAATCCATGCTGGGCCAGAAGCAGAGGAACACTGGGAAACCTCAGCATTTCCCAATCAGTTCAAACAGATCCTAGAAAGAGCACTTCCAAGCACTGAACACGAGGGTGTGTGTTGTCCTTCGTCAAGCATGCTCACAGCCAGCCTGCCTGCTAACAGACGTGGTGCTCGCTCATGTTGTGTGTCCTCCAGCTTCTGCCATTCCTCCCCTGTCAGCTTTTCCTGCAAAGAGGAAACGTGTTGTGCAGTTGCAAAGGGAAGCTCTGCTGCTGGCTGTGGTTTGCAGTGTGGTTTCCTCTGCCCGTGGTGCAGCCACGTGCTCTGCTCAGACTTTCCCACAACAAGAGCAGATGTTTTATCTGTGTGCCGTAAATGTTTTGTTTTTTTTTTTATAAAAATATATATATTTTTGTATGAAGTTTGCTTTCTGTTTTAAACTGGGGGTTTTTACCAGTTATTTTCTAAAGCTCACCCATGTAAACCAGGTTTCCCAGCTGCTGTGCATGCAAGCAAGACTGCTTTGATTTCTATAAGATCAGAGAGCCAAAAGAGAACATAACTGCAATAAGCACATCTCAAGGCTGTTTTGAGAGCACATTAAGGGAAACACTGTGCTGCCATATCCAGAAAGGAGAGGTGTGTGCTGAACAGGAGCTGATCCCTCTGGCAGCACTCAGGGAATGCAGCTCAGCATCACCTCCATCCCCAGAGGCTGCAGAGAAATGCAACACTTTAACAAGATGATTCCTTATGGCACGTGCTTATTAAATTTACTAATGCAATAATTAACAACTTTGGATATTTTTCAGGCCTCTTCTGTAAGCAGTTGAGCATGCACTGCTTGTTCCCAAGGGCTGCCTCCCAGGCTGTGCTTCTTGCAGGAGGAATGCAGGTGTTTGCATGCCCTGCTGCCAGCTCTTTTTAGCATTGGAGATGAAGGGCAGCTGTTGTACTTGATGCTTTCCAAGTGCTGAGCTGCACAGATGTCCCTTAAAAGATGAGGTGCCCAAAATGGGACCAGGCATTGCATTTCTGTATAACTATGGTAGAAATCACCTCTTGCTTCTGATCACACACAGCTCTGGGGTGAAATCTCCTCCTTCCCACAGCAGTGCAAGCTGCTGCAGCTGGCCCCAGCCCTGAGCTGAGCTACGTGCTCACAGTGGATGTTTTGAGCTCTCCCATTTGGGATGTGTTTTCCTTTGTGCAGCTCTGCTGCTGCAGTGCTGATCTGTTCTGCACGAGGTGGGGGTGCAGCTGCGTGCCTGCAGCTCCTTTTGCTGCTGGAATGGGATGGGATGGGTTGGGATGGGATGGAATGGAATGGAACTGAGTGGAACAAGCATGCATGGAGCATGGAATGTGGCATGGAGCATGGAGCATGACCGCAGCGTTCTTGTAGAACATCAGTGCTCTTCTATTCAGAGAGAAGAGTAAAAATGCAGTGACTTGATCAGAGGTCCCATTTCACCAGGAAACGTTTCCAACCAGAGGTGAACATTTCGTTCAGTAGTTGGCACAGATGGGATCTTTCCTGTAGACATGTTGGCCTTTCCAGTGGCAGATTGCATGTGAATTTGGTGTCCAAACCTCCCCATATCCAACTGCTGCCCACCCAACACCAACAGTGCATGCAGTGCTCTGCTCCAGTAGGGCTCAGCGTGAGCTGTGCTCAGCCATGCTTCTCATCCACATCCTGCTCCAATGTCCATCCTACCTCTGTGTTTCCTGGAGCATCTTTACAGCATTTCGTTGTCTGTGACACTGATTGTCTCCCCATCAGAGCAGAGGATATCTGAAAGGAGTCCCAGAGGTGGGTAGGGCTGAGCTCCAGCTGAGGCAGTTTCATGCAACACCAAACCCACTCCTTCCTGAGGTTCTTAGAGCCCAAATTCATGGCTGCAACCTGAATTCCTTACAGGCCCTTTGGTAATGAGATGTAGATGAGCATTGCATGTGACCTCAGGAGCAGCACTACCTGCTGTCAGGTGGATTCCTTCATGGCATAGCTGGATATCCAGCAAAGCTGCAGTGTGAGTACTTCTGCTGGATGCAAAACCAGCAGTCAGAGCTGAGAAGAGGGGCAGAAGGAGAAGCTGTGGGTTTTGCATGGTGTCATAGGAGTGAGTGCTGAAACTGAGCAGGAGAGAGGTGCCCAAAGAAGTGCAGTGCTAAAACGTTCTCCGTAAAGCCAGAGGAAACCTGCTGAGGTGCTGTCAAAAGGGAAGTGAGCTCCTGATGTTGTCTTCATACAAAGAGCAGCACGTTGCTTCATTTGATCTGGGTGTCAGTTTTGCTATAGAATGGGTCTGTGGCAATTTCTGTACTTAAGGACTGTGGATGTGTTTTAGCCTTATTTTTCCAGGCACTTGCAGGAGAAATCTCTCTCATTAATCTGAGGAAGCTTTGCGTTTTGGCAGTAGAGCAGAACAGGTTGGACAGCCATTCTGTAGCACCTGAATCTCTGCAGAGAATCCCTTCTTGTCTAAAGCAACATGAAGGCATTCCAGGCATCAAAAGCCTTCTTGAAGCCAGATAAAACCACAGCTCCATCAGGCTGCCCAGGGCCTGATCCAGCCTGGCCTTCAAAGCCTCCAGGGATGGAGCATCAACCACATCTCTGGGCAACCTGTGCCAGTGCCTCACCACCCTCACTGTGAAAGACTTTTTCCTTAGATCCAACCTAAATCTCTTCACACTTGAAGCCATTTCTCCTTGTTCTGCCACCACAGACCCTGCTCAAGGATCTGTCCCTTCCTTTCCTGCAGTTCCTTGTTAGATACAGGCTGCTCTCACATCACCTCACAGCCTTCTCTTCTCCAGCTGCACAGCCCCAGCTCTCAGCCTGTCCTATGAGAGCTGTTTAATCCCTAGGATAAGATAATGCTTTTAAATCCCACTTTATTTTTGATTCTTCTTTCCTTATGGCAATTCTGTGGCCTCTGCCAGGAGAGGAGGAGGAGGAATGTATTTTCTCTCGGATAGAGTTTAAACCCCATTCACTGACACTTTAATATGACCATAACTTCTCCCCACACAGCGATTCAGGCTGCATGGTGATTGATAAGCTGACCATCACAGACATGGGAACGACCAAAGCATCCAAACCACTGAACAATGCTTCCCAGCACCCAGAAGAGCACCAGAACACGGCGCCGGTTACGGAAATGGCCACGAAAGACAGGTGAGCTGGTCCAACCCACCAGCACTGCCCATACCAGAGCCCCATGTCAGACAGTCGCAGGTGACAAAGCCAGGCAGGTGGGCTGTCCTATGGAACCTGCTGCTGATACCTGTGGTGTGAGAAGGAAGTTAAGGCCGGTGCTTTGAGCTTTGTGCCACCAGTCCTCTTGATTCCACATCTATTCTGGATATCAGCAGCACTGCTGCTCGCACTGGAGCTGCAGGGGAATTGTAACATTTGAATCCACAGTTTGGTGAGGGTGTGTGGCCCTGCAGAACCATCCAGTGTTGGCCTTACATATCCCTGTCCTGGGATAAGGCAGGGAAGCAAGGCAGCAGGACTGCACCTGCAATGCAAGCAGAGGAGCACTGAGGGGTCTGGACTTCGATTTCACATAGAATCACACAGAATGGTTTGGGTTGGAAGGGACCTCAAGCTCCAACCCAACCCCCCAACCACAGGCAGGACCACCAACCTCCACATTTCATACCAGCCCACGCTGCCCAGGGCCCCATCCAACCTGGCCTTGAACACCTCCAAGGATGGACGGGGCATCCACAGCCTCTCTGGCCAGCTGTTCCAGCACCTCACCACTCTTTCTGTACAGAACTTCCCCCTAACATCCAACCTCAATCTTCCCTCATTCCACTTCAAACCATTTCCTCATGTCCTGCAGTTATCTACCCTTTCACAGAGTTGATTCCCCTCCTGTTTGTAGGCTCCCTTTAGGTCCTGAAAGGCTGCAGTGAGGTCACTCCACAGCCTCCTCTTCTCCAGGCTGAACAAGCCCAGCTCCCTCAGCCTGTCTTTGTAGGGAAGGTGCTGCAGCCCTCTGATCATCTTCATGGCCCCCCTCTGGCCCCTCTCCAACAGCTCCCTGTCTTTCTTGCACTGGGGGCTCCACACCTGGATGCAGTGCTGCAGATGGGGCCTCATGAGGGCAGAGCAGAGAGGGACAATCCCTTCCCTGTCCCTGCTGCCACCCCTCTGCTGATGGAGAAGCGCAGGATTTTGTGAAGGGTCTGGGAGAGGCTCTGATTGGGAAAGCTGATTGCTTTATAGCAGGTAGAAGCAGCAGAAGTAGAGAAGGGATGGCTCAGGTGCTGCTGTAGAGAAGAATATCCAGAATTAAGCTTTAGGAGCAGGAGGACCCAGTGCTGTGTGTCTCTAATATCACTCTTTGGGTTTGTCCTTAGGAAAGAAGAAACCTTGCCTTGTGCTGAAGCCACATTAAATGGCCCTGCTTGATGACACAGATGCAATGGGACGTGTGTGATCCAGGCCAGGCTGCTACCTGGTGATGCAATTTGTCAATTTTTTTTTTTTTTTTTTTTTTCATTTTAATTTTATTTTTTAATAAATGCTGCATTGATGAGAGAGCTGGCATTCAGGACCAGACCCGGAGTTTCAACACCAACAATCTGTTCTGAAAGACACTCGCATTGTCTAAATGTAGCATCGATCAGTTAGTCATCACAGGAATGATGGGGTTCTTCCCAAGCAAGCCTTCTGCCTAACTTCAGTTCCTCTCCCCTTCCCTCTCTCCCTTGGTTTTGTTTTGTATTTGGGGTTCAGTCCTATTTTCTTAGTGTTATTGCACACAGTATTCAGCTTCTCTTCAGAAAGGTAGCAGGTCTAACGCTGGGACACGGACATCACACAGCAGTCCCACAGTCGTGTGACCAAAGTTCCTGATGGAGCTGCCTTTGGGCAGCATTTGCACCGCTTTTGTATAGCAATAAAGCCTTATCAGAAACATTTCATAGGAGGAAAAAGATGCAAACACTTTAAACGGGACGAGGCAGGGAGGGTTTTTGTTGTTTTTTTTTTTTTTTGTGGGATGGGAGGGATATCACTGACATCGTCCCAAGCCAGAGGCCAGGTAGCCAACCTGCCGTCGTGCTGAACTGTCTCGAGAAGCAGCCAGGCTCTCAATTAATTGCTCCGTGCTCTGCCAGTGAGAGGCAGGCTGGTTCACTGCAGGACCTCAGGTCGCCAGCAGTCGGGCCTCTGCTGTCTGAGCCATCACAGCTCCACTTCCCAGATGCCCTCCGTTGGCTGCAGAGTATGCAAAGAAGGTAACGCGGCCGAGAGGAGAGCGATGCTTCGGACTGCTGCCGTGCAGGAGCGAGAGCAGATATGGCACAAACAGGTTATCAGGTGTTTGCTGGCTTTTTTGGAGACTATTGTATTTTCAAAATGATTATTATGAAAAATCCTTTTTGTTTGTTTGTTTGTTTTTGTTTTGTTGGTTTTTTTTTATTATTTTGTTTTGTTCTTGTTTTTTTTTTTTTTCCCTTCTGTTTGTTTTGTTCTGTTTGTAAAGTTTTTAATGGATGCAGGAACAGCAACACTTTTGCACTTTGTACCTAGCGACAACATTGGAGAATGAAATGGTCCCAGCACAGGACTCCTGCTGTTACTTTACCCTCCCAAATCCCTTGGGCAGGAGGTCGTGGTGAGCTGGGGGAACGTGGGATGGTTGAGCACAGCAGCACAGAGCACCGGACTGCACCTCACGCTGCCTGGGAGCAAGGTCAGTTACAGATGGGTGCTTGCCCACACAGCACAGGACCTGCCATGCAGGCAGGAGGACCCGATCCTGTAAGGACCGTGCCAGCTCTGCTCTGGTTTTTGTCCCTGTCTCTGCGTTGAGCTCCTTGCCAGATGGACTCGTGCACACAGATCATACAGGCGTAGCTGTTGGGCTTCTGCAGCCCCCCAGGGTCACCGTTTCCTGCCAACCTGCCTGGTGTGTAAGCCGTGTGCTGACACACAGCCATCAGCATCCAGCGCTGCTGCTTTCAGTAGATCTGAGCTGGAAAATCGTTCACTTTGGAATAAAAGCATGAAGCTCGACACGTAGGTAGCCAAATAGCTTCTTTTCCAATGTATTCTCACCTGTGCACAACGAGAGACTTTACCCTGTGAGTATGAAAAGTACCTCACTCCTACCTGTTGTTATGAGCAAAGGGCATCCTAGCCAGACTTCGGGCTCCAAGGAAAACACAACCTTTATATTTAACTGTGATCTGTATGTAGTGCATATGAGATTTTCCTAACCACGGTGGGTGTGTGTTGGGGGGGTGAGGTGAACACAATGCTTTCACTGCTGGAGTCATTTTGCTCTGCAGGGTCAGTGTCTGATGGTGACATAACCTACAGCGTGAGGCTGTTGTATCCCCAAGCATCACACCTTTCCATTTTTGCTCTTAGGAAAGATGTGGCTTCAGAGCACCAGAGCTGGAGATGGGAGCACAGGAGGTGATTTGAAGGCGATGCACTGGGGTTGTGTGCTGCTGATGGCTGTGGTTTCTCCCAGCTGCAATCCCTGGGTGCTCACGTGGCACAGCACTGTTGTTCTGGAATTTTTCCCCCTCCCTCCTCGTAACTTAAAAGAGATAATTTAAAAGATGCTTTGTGCTGGAAGGAGAACACACTTTCTGCTTTGTTACCTTGCTTGCTCATTAGAGACCCGTCCCACTCTTGGCCAGGATGAGTAGTTTGGAGTTCCTCGTTGGCAACATGTTGGATTAAGTCTTAATTTTCAGAGGATTGGTGCTAGAGATTTTCTGGAAACCAGGTTAGGGCGTTCTTTAAACACCCAAAAATGATACTATAGGAAAGCATTCATTAAATACTGATCCCTGCAGCTGATGGAAGGCTGCTATGGGGCTCAGTCCCAGTAACTTCCAGTTGGTGACAGTGTACTTGTCCAGCCCCTTCTCACATACAGTCCCATCAGTGGCTGTGAGCTCTGCCGTGCTGCAGCTGTGACCAGACCTGCTCAGACCCATCAGCAGCAGCAAGATGGGATCTTCCTCCCAGCGTGAGATGTTTTCAGCTCCCTTGTTCTCCTGACACACCGTCTTTGCACGAGGTGCTGCCTTACCCTTGCAGCACAGTGCTGGCTGATATCACAGGAGCCCTGCTCCTCTGTTGGGGTTGGCTTTGGGAGCAGAGCTGTGGAGGTGTGCAAGAATTTCTCTCTCTGTGCCTTCCCCACCTTTTGGCTTTGAGTCTGTAAGTCTAAAGGGAAGCTCATCATCATCTGTTTCAAACATAGCAGGAAGCAGAATGCAAGCGTGGTGTATTTACTGAGGGACTCAGCACCAACCAGAGGGTTTCTCCCCGCTGGTTTTAGGGCTCTGCAGTGCAGAACAGACCCAGAGCCCAATTATATCCATGAGAAAAGCCCCCCTACCTGTGCTGTTTGGTCAGAAAACGATAAATTCACACTTAGCCCCATCCTTCCTCTTCTACGTGCAGCGTTTGGAATCTGTCCACATCTGTCTGGCAGATAGAATTTTAGTTCTGAACACGTGTGAGTGTGTGTCTGTGGGCACACATCTGCAATATGTGTTGGTTCCACGTGTGTTTATGCAACGCACACAGTTGGGTATTGCAAGCTGGAGCAGTGAGATGTGGTCCGAGAGCGAGATGGGAACTCGGGGAGAGGGGGTTGAAGCAACATTTCTCTTTGCTTTGGTTTTTCGTTGGACCTCGTGCTTGAATTTTCCCTTGCTGCACAATAAGAGAGAGCTGGTGCTGCATTCCTTCTTCATACCAAGATGTGGCATTGAGTTCTGGGCTGGAATTCCTTTGCTATCCTCGAGAGCTGAGGTCCTCAAACCCACGCATAGGTGATCAGTCCCTCAGATGACAGCATCCCAGTGCCCAGCTGGGTGCTGTGAGCTCCGAGCACAAGGTTGGCAGGTTAAAAACCATTTACAATGAGGATTGGGCTGTGATTTACCTCTGCATGTCAACTTGCAAAAAAAAAAGAAAAAAAAAAAGCAACCTTTGGTCAGGGCAGCCGTGCGTCGTTAGCTAATTATGGACAGTGCCTTAGCTTATCTCCAGGGTTATGCACCGTTTTTCTAGGTCTGAGCTGAAGTGGGAGCTTCCAGAAGCACACACAATGTATTCAACCCATCTCTGCAATGTATTTTCGGTGACCATTTTAAGACTCTCTGGGTTTGATGCAGTTCTTATGGACTCGATGTGGCTGAAGTTTCCAGGTTACAGGGAGTGAGGAGGTGATCTCTGGGTGATGGTTTCCCTCCGTCGGGTGCCATCTGATGGCAGGATCCCAGGAACCTGAGCACCATTTGCCATGTACGTATGCATAGAAACCTCCTGCCAGATGGAAGCAGGGAAAATCAACATTTAAGCTCCACTTATCTCACCCAGAATTCACTCACCTCACTGCTGGAAGGGCATTACGGCACTGCTCTGACCTCTCCATTAAGTGTTGTACAAAAATTGACCATTTCCCAATGACTGTTACCTGTCACCTTTCCCAGCCTGCATATAAAGATGTTGGTGAGATGCACTGTGTGCAAAATGTGTTTTTGTATCTCTCCGTGGAGTTGCGGGGCATTTGTAAAGGGCACATTCTCCCCCATCTCTTTATTATTTCCTCATCTGTTTGGACAGATGTCAACTATTAAAAAACCTTTTCTCGGCGGCTCCGTTCTCATTGCTGGTTGTTCAGAGCTTTCTGAAAGCTGCCCTGGTTCGTGCTGTAGGGATTTCCCATTGTTGGTGGGTTCTGATAACAGTTGACTTCTCATGCAGAACGCCGCTGATCCTCATGGAAACCAAACTCAGGATGGGATATCCCAGATGGAGCCACACATCTCCCAGGGGCTCTGAATGGCTGTTGGCAGCTCTCTGTGACTCCCAGTGGCCCTCGGTGGCTCTTGGTGGCTCCTAGTGGCTCTCAGTGGCTCTCGTGGCTCCCAGTGGCTCTCAAATCACTTTCAGTGGCACCCAACAGCTCTTGGTGGCTCTCAATTGCTCCCAGTGGCTTCCAATGCCCCCCCAAAGCTCTTGGTGGCCCTCACTGGCTCCCAGTGGCCCCCTGTAGTTCTCAGTGGCTCTCAGTGGCTCTCAACTGCTCTCAGTGGTTCTCAGTGGCTCTCAATTGCTTTCAGTGGCTCCCAGTGGCTCTTGGTGGCTCTCAGTTACTCTCAGTGTCTCCCAGTGGCTCTTGGTGGCTCTCAATTACTCTCAGTGGCTCCCAATGGCCCCCCATAGCTTTTGGTGGCTCTCAATCGCTCCCAGTGGCTCTCAATCATTCTCAGTGGCCCCCAGTAGCTCTTGGTGGCTGTCAATTGCTCTTAATGGCTTCCAGTGGCCCTCAGTGACTCTCAATTGCTCTCAGTGGCTCCCCACAGTCCCTGTAGCTCTTGATAGCTCCCAGTGGCTCTCAGTGGCCCCCTGTAGCTCTCAGTGGCTCTCACTGACTCTCTGAGTTGTTCCCAGTGGCTTCCAAGGGCTCTGAATGCCCCCTCCCCCCCCCATACCTCTCAGTGGCTCTTGATCACTCTCAGTGACTCTGAGTTGCTGTCAGTAGCAATCAGTTGCTCCCAGTGGCTTCCAGTGGCTCTCAATTGCTCTCAGTGGTTCCCAGTACTCCCCCCACCCCATAGCTCTCAGTAACTCTCAGTCCCTCCCAGTGGCTCTGAGTGATTCCTGGTGGTTCTTGGTGGCTCTCAATTGCTCTCAGACTCCCAAAGGACCCCATGGCTCTTGCTGGCTCCCAATGGCTCTCAGTGGTTCTCAGTTGCTCCCAGTGGCTCTCAGTTGCTCTCTGTGGCTCCCAATGGCCTCCCGTAGCTCTCAGTAGCTCTTGGTGGCTCCCAGTGACTCTTACTCTCAATCACTCAGTGTCTTCCAATGCCTCCCAGTGGCTCCCAGTGGCCCCTCTTAGCTCTTAGTGGCTCTTGGTGGCTCCTGGTGGCTTCCAATGGCTCCAAATGGCTCCCTGTAGCTCTGAGTGGCCCCTCTTAGCTCTCAGTGGCTCTTGGAGGCTCTCAGCGGTTCCCAATGGCTCCCAGTAGCTCCAAGTAGCCCCTCTAAGCTCTTGGTGGCTCTTGGTGGTTCCCAATGGCTCCCAGTAGCTCCCAGTGGCTCTCATTAACTCTCAGTTGCTCTCAGTGGATTTCAACAACTCCTAGTAGCTCCCAGTGGCCCCTCTTAGTTCCCAGTGGCTCTTAGTGGCTCCTGGTGGCTTCAATGGCTCCAAATGGCTCCCTGTGGCTCTGAGTGGCT